CCACGTTTAAAAAGCTCAAAGCTTTCAGGGAGGGAGTCCTCATTTCACCACAGTCACTTTTTGATTACCTGCACGTGACGCCCTTAAGGGAAATCAATACGCTGTCGCTGCTCAAAAATAACCTGGGCTATTCTCTCTCCGGACAGGCTTAGTGTGGAAGAGAGAGGAAAGAAGCCACTTCTGAAACTCCTTTCTCTCTCTTTCCTTTTGTGTGTCTGTTGTTTACATCACAATTATTTGTGTTTTTGCCCTGTATGTATCCTGGAGGAGGTCCTTGAGCAGAGAGGCACTGATGATTGTCCAGCCTCTGGAAAAACATCATGTCCCCTGAAGATGTCCACTTACTGAGAGTTACCCTGCAAAGCTTTCTCCACTTCAATCACCAGGCAAACATTTCAAAGTGAACCTGAACCTTAAAGTGACATTCTGGGTGAGTGTACTGTAGAAATCTCTGCAGTAGTCTGCTCGCAGGCTTTCAAATGTCCTGGCTGACAATTCCCCCCCCCCATTTGAAGCCCTGTTTACTTTTACAGACACCTCTGGGTCAGAATGTTAATGTTGCACACTGGACATGAGACAAATAGCTCCTGATCGGACTGTAGCATGACATGTTCGGAGAGCGCCGAGCACAGATTTGAGGGAACTTCAACATTTAAAAGAAAACGGTTTGGTGGAGAGCATCAAATCCCAAATCGAGTGAATGTATTCTGAAAGAGAGATCACAGACTGCTTATCCCACAAGGATAAAATAGTCACATTTTGCTTGTTTCTTGGCTCACATCACAAAAGAAAAAGGTTTTGTTTGATGCTGTAAGGAAGGCGTGTGGTCAGAGCTGTGTGTTGGACCCTTTTACTGCTTTAAAAGCCTCTCCCTCCTGTGGGGATGAGCCTGACCAAAAGTAACGCATTAGAACTTTTCTTAGAGATGACCTGTTACTTAATATGCATCAAATTCACCCCACAAGAGAAGCACTCAGATTCATTCATCAAGATCTGATGTGTGCTTTAAGTTTAAAATCTTTTTGAAATCTATGCTGACATTTGTCTGACCAAATTATGTATTAACAAAAAATTATGGAATCAAAAAACATCAAAAGTGCTGGAATTCTACTTCCTCCAAACCATCAACGTGTCTTTTAGACCCCATTCCTGCAAAACTGCTCAAAGAAGTCC